TCAGCCGCTGTTGAAACTGATCAGTGGCTGATTCCAGGAAGCTGGGGGCAGAGCAATTCTGCCTCCAGCTTCCTGTAGTCAGTCCCTGGTCAGTTTCAGCAGCAGCGGCTGAATCTGGAGCCAGTTCCGACTTACATACAAATTCAACTTAAGAACAAACCTATAGTCCCTATCTTGTACGTAACCCGGGGACTGCCTGTAGGTCTTACTGCTCTTTCTAAAGTACATCTTAAGTCATCTGAAAGAGTAGAAACACTTTAACTACCACCTCACTTTACTTTGATTTCAGCATACCTTTTTCATTTCATTTTCCAGATTTTCCTCTTCTTGACCTTCAGACAGTCGCCTTCTCAAGTCTGCTATTTCCCTTTCAACATTTTCCCGATATTGGCCCCACTGAGCTCGTTCTTGTTCCAGCCTGTGATGAAACTGGAGCTCATATTCATGAACAGTTTCTATAAAACAATGTCACAGAAACTTTCATTATCAGTGTAAATTAGAGTGTAAAACTACAACTTATGCAGTTCCAAAGAATCACATTCAGAGTTTAGAATGTTCGTGCACAGCTTGCTGTTTGTTTTGTAGAATCCTTTCACATCTATGCGACCTTCAAGGCTAAATCTTTTTCATTTTCTAACTTCTCCCTGTCCCCCAGAGATCTGCAGTCTAGACACAACCCTTCCTTTTGAAACACCACTTACAGAACTAGTCAACTGTTCTTCCAAATTGGCCAAGAGCATCACTATTGAGTGAGTCAAATCATTCTCTTCCCCTCCAGGGGCTGAGTACACGGTCTTTGCAGTAATGCAATCTCATAAAGAGCAGGGAGATTCAGAAATAAGCTTTGTCTTGTACATGTATGCTGAGATATGTCACAGTATAGACCTGACCTACCACTTACAGAACTAGTCAACTGTTCTTCCAAATTGGCCAAGAGCATCACTATTGAGTGAGTCAAATCATTCTCTTCCCCTCCAGGGGCTGAGTACACGGTCTTTGCAGTAATGCAATCTCATAAAGAGCAGGGAGATTCAGAAATAAGCTTTGTCTTGTACATGTATGCTGAGATATGTCACAGTATAGACCTGACCTTGTCCCCCCTGGTGTGTATTAGATTCCATTACCAGAAATCATTACAAGGACATGAAAATACGATTCAAGACAATTTCTGAATCTTTACAGACCATTCAGGATTCTGTTAGTGAGAAATAAATAAAATTACAGACTTTTTACCACTAATTAAACAGATGCACAGGCAATTTTCTATCTCCCTAAAATTTAATATAGAATTTAGGATTTTGATTTTTTTTAAATGAAACAAGTAAAATGTCCATATTTTTAAACGATCATTATTCAGAGGGAAAAAAAAGTCAAACGATCTTCTAAAAATCATCACAAAGATATTTTTAAGAGATGTATCTATTTTAAGATAACTATTTAAGGGCCTCTAAATTGGCCATAGGCAGTCCAAGGCAGCAACTGTAACATTTATTGTGCCCTATGATACACTAAATATTTCTATAGATTTGTCATATCTTTAGTTGATCACACTGAACAAAGAGCTAACAATGAATGGAACAAACTGTAATTTGCCCAGAAAACTATCAAGTGATTAACAGATCCAGAGTACTAAAATTTAGTCTAGATTACCAAAATTAGTTTAAATAGCCTTCTTTATTCTAGCCAAGAGTCATTTTGCTCAAATATCCTATTTATATTTTGATTTACAAATTCTGCTCATAGCAATCTAAACACTATGCAAATCAAAATCCCCTATCTTAAAAAAGGGGTAACAACAAAAATTACAACCACATCCCCTAAAACACAAAAAAGACTAAATTTTGTAAGGTCACTCTGCTTGTCTATTTAGATTATAAATGCTTTAAGGCATGTCTGTGTATCAGCTAACACAATGGGGCCTTGATCTTGGTTGGGGACTCTATTTTTCTATAATAGTCTAATTCTGTTATTTGTGTATTAACAACAAGCCAAATTATATTTGCATGCCAACTATGAGAAAGTGTAGGAGGACCTCTCTGCTCCCTAGTGCGAGGCATTAGAGCTTGACACTCTGTTAAAGGAAAATCCACTCAGACCGTGTTACCAGCAGGATAGTACTCCACCGGCCTACAAAAGCCTGAAGGAAATACTCATCAAGTACTCATCAATCAAGAGCCAGCAGTGCAGTTAAAAAGGCTTGCCTACTTGTCATCAGTGGCAGAACTGGGGGAGACGGGAAGAAAGGAAGGGCTTCTTAGTGCAGACCCAGAAGGTCAGGGCCTTGCCTTCAAGTGCTACAACCAGTGCTTGCATTTGAGACTTTGTTTCTTTATTTAAAGGACAGACAGACACATTTTCAATTTCTTATTTTACTGTTAAAAGACTTACTGTGCCAAGCTTACTGCATGGATATCCTGCTGCAGGCAGTCAGCCAAAACTCTCAGATGAAAACGGTGAATGCCTTCTGTGTCAGACTGATCCCACAGGGAGAAATTGCAGAGCAACCTTGCCTACCACCCCAAATTACGTGAAAAGCTATATTCTCTGGAGTAAATACGTATAAAGTAGGTTTCTACAATACCTACAGCCAACAGCAAAGACTCAGGCTATGATAATCGCTTTGTGTACTCCTCGCAAAAATAGTTATCATAATAGCTGTTACATTTTAAATTACTATCAGAATGTACCCCCTTATAGGTATTTTACCTTGTTTCAGCAGCAGTAGCTAGCTTCCTCTGGCCTTACCTTTCATTATAGCTTGCAGTGAAGCTACTTCTTCTTGCCACTGCCTCTTCACCTCATCAATAGCTTCCTGCTTTGTATTTTCAGACACTGTGGCTACAGCTTTGATATTCTCCATTTCTGCCTGGGCTTCCAATAGTTGTGTCCGTAGCTGTCCAAGATCATCTTGTGCTGCTTGCAGTACTGCATTTTGCCTTTTTAGGTCCTCTGAAATTAAGTATTATTTCCATTTAATTTTAACAAATTCAATTTGAATTAACTGCTTCAGAAATGGATGTTTTAGTAAAGGAAAATAAGAGTCTGAAATTTAAAACTTTATCCATGATAGCTAACAGATCTTTAAGTAACACTTCAATTTCTCTGCTCCTCAAGTTCCTTCTTTATTTGTTTCAAATTCATGCAGCGTAGAGATTGAAGATACTACTTACTACAGGTTGAACCTCTCTAGATCAGCAACATCCTTGGTCTGGCATGATTTTATTAAGCTGAAACATCACTTATCATGGGTGTCACCAAGTTTCCCGTGGCCCCATAAAGTTTGTTTACAGCCATCAGTCCTGGTTCTTAGTGTTCTGTGCTATTATTTAGCTCTAATTTACCCTTAAATGTCTTCTAAGAGCCCTGTAGGCAGTGGAAGTGTTAGCAATGCTGCTAGACAATACTGAACTCCCATGATTCAGCAAATTTTCTGGTTCGGCAGACAACCTGAAACAATACCTCTCCAAGAAGTAGGCTATACCATTCATTTCAATGGAGGATTAAGTCCGAATCCTAAAGATGATAATTTAATACAGAATCATGAAGCTAAAGCAGTACTATCCAAGAAATTAAGAAACCACCTGATAAGTATTTTATACAAGAAACAGAAAACCATCAAGAATGACATTTCTAACTTAGATCATCTCATCTCAAGACAAACATCCACACCGACTGACACCTTGCAAGACTTTTGTTCCACCAGACAAGAAATCTACTATACACACTTCTATTCCCTACAACAAAGAAAAGACAATAAATTTTCTAACCTGCTCCATACCACTGGCTACAACAGCAACTGCCTCAACCCACCGAATAATATTGTTAACCTCTCCAGCTACAAACTCAATCCAGCAGAAGAGTCTGTCTTGTCCCGGGGTCTCTCTTTCTGCCCCACGTCCCCCACAAACTGGATACAATTTTGTGGTGACCTTGAGGCTTTTTTTCGCCGCCTCCGTCTCCGAGAATATTTCCAAACCACCACTGAACATCAATCTGACCTACCAGATCCCCCCTATCAACACCAAAGGAAAAATACTTCATGAAGCTAATGTACTGATACCACAAGACCAAACTGCTTCCCATGTTTCTCCAATGCAAAAAGGCTCAACCTACCCAACGGCTAGAACTGATATTTCCCCTTCCCATTCCTGATATGCTGCAGCTGAGGTGTTGTCAGTATAACCATCTCTGACACATTGAAAACTGCAGATGTGAAAAAAAAAAAAAAAAAAAAGGATAAAATGAACTGAACAGCCGAACAGAAACAAAGTCGCACAGGCTGTACCTCCCTGGTCTGTCAAACTCGGGACCTGACTGGGCCCGAACCAGGAATCAGCCAGGCCAGGGGACGTTAACGCCAGCCCCTCTCCTACTGCTAACTGTGGGGCTTCGCTACAGCGGCAGCACAGGGACTTAAGAATATAAAAACATAACGTAAGAACGGCCATAAAGGATCAGATCAAAGGTCCATCTAGCTCAGTCTTCCAACAGCAGCCAATGCCAGATGCCCGAGAGGGAGTGAACAGAAATAGGAAATATTCAAGTGATCCCTCTCCTGTCATCCATTTCCAGCCCCTGAAAAACAGAGGCTAATAAATATTGATGGACCTAACCTCCACGAATTTATTTAGTTCTTTCTTGAACCTTGTTAAAGTCCTGGTCTTCACAACCTCCTCTGGCAAGGAGTTCCACAGGTTGACTGTGTGCTGAGTGAATAAAAACTTCCTTTTGTTTGTTTTAAACCTGCTACCTACTAATTTCATCTGGTGACCCCTAGTTCTTATGTTATGGGAACAAGTAAATAACTGTTCCTTATTCACTTTCTCCATATCTGTCATGATTTTATAGACTTCTGTCACATCTCCTCTTTTCTAAGCTGAAAAATCCTAGGTATTTCTCATCTCTCTTTATATGGCACCTGTTCCAAACACCTAATCATTTCTGTTGCCCTTTTCTGAACCTTTTCCAATGCCAATATATCTTTTTTGGGATAAGGTAATCACATCTGTACACAGTATTCAAGATGTGGGCATACCATGGATTTATGGCAATAAAATATTCTCTATCCCTTTTTTAATGGTTCCTAACATTCTGTTTGCTTTTGACTGCCGCTGCACATTGAGTGGATGTTTTCAGAGAACTAGCCACAATGACTCCAAGCTCTCTCTCAAGGAGTTATAGCTAAATTAGTCCCCACCATTTTGTACGTATAGTTAGGATTATTTTTTCCAATGTGCATTACTTTGCATTTATTAAAATTAAAATTAATTTGCCATTTTGTTGCCCAATCACCTAGTTTTGTGAGATCCTTTTAAAGATCTTCACAGTCTGCTTTGTTCTTAACTATCTTGAGCAGTTTAGTATTGCCTGCAAATTTTGCCACCTCGCTGTTTACCCCTTTCTCCAGATCTTTTATAAAAAGTTGAATAAGATTGGTCCCAGAACCAACCCTTGCGGGACACCATGAATTACCCCTCTCTGATCTAAAAACTCACCATTTATTCCTACCCCTTGTTTCCTGTCTTTTAACAAGTTATCAACCCATGAGAGGACCTTCCCTCTTAACCCATGATAACTAACTTTACTTAAGAGCCTTTGGAGAGGGACCCTATCAAAGGCTTTCTGGAAATTTAAGTACACTATATTCGCTGGATCCGCCTTGTCCACATGCTTGTTGACCCCCTCAAGAACTCTAGTAGAGATAGTAAGGCATGATTTTCCTTTACAGAAACCATGCTGACTTTTCCCCAACAAATTATGTTGCATTGACTCAGCAGTAATTGGAGGGAGGGTGTTCAAGGGAAGAGGCAGGGTGGAGGTGGAGCCCCAGGAGTGCAGCTCCCACAGCAGCTGGGCTATGCTCCCAGCTCCTGCCACTGGCCGCAGAGCTCCACAGCCATCTTGCCTGTTCTCCCAGGGCATGTTCCATCTCCATTCCTCCCTCTCCTTCCCTGAGCTAGAGCACTGCAAAAAGCTTATTTGCATCACACTGGAAGCTCTGGGAGGGTGGGGGAGGTGTTGCTGAGCAGAGGACAGAGCTTTACTCCATGAGTGCTCCAGCCCAGGACCACCCACAAGGATGCTGGACCACTGAAGTCCACACCAAAGAGGTTGAACCTGTACCGGCTTATATTTATTTTCATACTGAATTCATAAAACCTTCCATTTTTATTTAAAAGAAGCTACTGCAGAATTTTCAGCCTGTTATACCAAAGTGCCATAGAACACAAGGACTGTGCACAAGTCCATGTCTTGTGTTCTGCAAGTACAAGGCACCTTAACTATTACTATTATGACTTTCTTTCCTGAATAACATTTGTGTAGTTTTTACAGCTTTTATAGTAATATTTATCAGCCTTAAGTATTTATAGTTCTACTGCTTTCAATCACTTTCTTTTCCCTTTCAGATCTCATAATAAATTCTCAACTCCTGCTCTATTTAAACAGAAACTCCATAAATTACTAAATTCCTGACCTTGCAAGGTTTATGGAAATGTCTTAAAAATTAGGTATAAAATGAGTCACATGAACATATTTTTTTTGGCCTTTTTTTAAGTGCATGTTTTGTATTGTAAATAGAATGCATACATATAGTCTTCTGCAGAAATATTTTCCTCAAGAGACAGTGCAGTGATGATCTATCTATCTACCTTAGACTGCATCTGTGTCTGTCTGCAAGTCCATTTGTTCAGAACTCCTCCTAAACGGTAAGAGCTAAGGCCACCAAATTTGATATGCAGTTTCCTCTTCTGCTAACTTAAATCAAGGTCAGAGTTTGGCTGTGCCAGGAGAACCAGAAATCCTAGGAAAGGGACCATTTTCTATAACATGCAAAGGGAGGGGCTGCTTTCGGACAGACATAATATGAGAGTAGTCACTGGGGGACAGCATGCCCACAGGGGAGAGCTACATGCAGAGTGGCCACTGGAGGCAGGCATACCACCAAGGGAGTGGCCAGCAGGGCTGGGGCTCCACCATCTTGCCTGCCAGCACACTGGTAAGTAGCACCCCAAATCCTTTCCCCACCTCCCATCCCTTGGCTGCAGCGCCAAGGGGGGAGAAGGGGAGAGAACAGGCTCCGGGAGGGCTAGGGGGTAGACTTTGGGGGGAGGTGAGAACATGCTCCTGCATCCCACCACCACATTCCCAAGGCCCTGCCCTGAAGGACCTGGGCAATACTGGGTAAGTCTTAGTAGAAAACTAATCAAACAAGGTTACATATCAGTTCACACTTCGGCCTGGTCTTCATTGAACATGACAATATGGCCTTAAGGAGTCAAGTTAACTAATGTGATGTTAAACGCTACTTTGCAGTCAGCAAAGAGAGAGGGACATCAAGACACAGTCAGAGTATGGTCTTGTGTGACCCTATGAGATCATCTTGTCTGATCTCCTGGATATCATAGGCTGCCGCCGCCGCCACCACCATTATACACAAAACAAATGAAAATACACCAAAGTACTAAAGTCCACAGGAGAGTCCTACAGTTCCAGAAGACTTTTCCCCACAACCAGCTAACTTTTCCCCACAACCAGTTAAATAAGATGTTCCCCCCGACACATATACACTGACTTATGTTGTTTAACATTGTGTTAGTTAAAATGACTCATCAAATTTGTAACAGACTAATGAAGAAAAAAAAATCTGTGGTAATTTCTGCTGCTATGCTTTAATATCTGTTAGCCACCACCACCATCCACAATACCGCCACAAAGGCCTATTTACCAAAATGGACACCATCAAGAAGCCAGTTACCTGGCAGGAAGTATAATCTTGAGGTTACAACAGAGGACTGGGAGCCACTCAATGTGTATTCTGACTTTACTACATACTGCCGGGGTGACCTCAAATAATCATTTCATCTTTCTGCCACAATTTCCCTGCCCATAAAATGGTGATGAGAGTACTTGTCCACTTCAAAGGGATGATACTGACATTCATCAGTTAAGACTTATAAAAAGCTTTAATATTTTTATTCTTTATCATTTGTATTACAGTAATCTTCCCAAAGGGCCAAATTAAGGGTAGACCTATTTATACAAGGCAGTGTACAAACACAACGGAAGGGATATTCTACCCAAGACTCTGGGGTGCTGAAAGAGCAAAGAACTTATGCTAGGGTTTTCAGTGGCACCTCCTTCACTTTGGTGTCTCTGTACCTAAGTGAAGAAAATGCCAAGAGGCAAAGTGAGTTCTAACAATTTTATTTTGGGGAGGGAGGTTGCTGTTGCTGACCATAGTCCAGCAGTGTCATCTCTTTACATTTTCATTTCCTTTCTCCTGATAGCTAGAAAAACTCATTATTGCGATGGCCTCCAATATGCCAGCAATACTGAGTATGAGAGTAGGGCTATTAGCATATAGTTGTTCACACGATTAACCGATAAGCCTGACCTTATTAGTTAACCAAAAGACTACACACACTCCCCTGACCCTTGCTGCCTCTGATACAGAGGCAATGGGGGAAGAAGGGGGAGGAGGGAGCTGGTGTCCATGGGGAGTCATCGTAAAAGCTGTCTCCCTGCACGTGACCCCTCCCACAGAGTCGCCTGTCATCCTCCTCCTTGCCTCCCATAGAGGCAACAGTAGGGAAGGGGGCAGGGGGGAGTCAGTAGACGAGGGGAGCCATTTTTTAAGCTGGCTCTGCATGTGTACTGGCTCCTGTGGAGCTTTCTGCTGCCCCACCCACTGCGCTGCTGCTATGATAGAGAGGCAGCAGAGCAGAGGGTAAGGAGGGAGCCAGGTACATGCAGAAAGCCAGCTCCCCACACAAATTGGCTCCTGCTGAGCCACTTGCCTGCTCCTTGCTGCCTCCCACAGAGGCAGGGGTGAGGCACAGGCAGAAGCCAGTGAAAAGCTGTCTCCCCATGAACACCAGTTTCATGGAGCTTCAGCAGCAAAGGGGAGGGGAGAGCAGGCAGGATGCCTGAGCAGCCCCTATCTGCAGTGAGCTTGTTTCTCCCACAGATAGAAGCTCCTGCTGCGCTGTGATGCTACCTCTGTATCCGAGGCAATAGCATGGGGCAGTAGGCGGGAGACAGTCTGCGCAGGGAGCTGATTTTTAAATCGGCTCCCGCCTGCCACCCCGCAATGCTGCTTCTGATACAATGCTGCATCAGAGGCAACAGTGCAGGTAGCAGTGAGTTCCCAGGGAGTGGGGCCAGAAACACACTAGCTGCCAACCACACCCTGGGGACTATTGAATAATCATGTAACTTCTAAGATTTAGTGAGGTTACACAATTATTCAATTAAACGATACCTAACATCCCTTTATGAGAGCAGAAAAATAAAGAAGTTGAAGTTTTAATGCAATTTTTCTGGGTTTCACTGTTTTATATTTTTTTAGATAAGAAAGCTGTTAGGATTAAAGAAGTCAGCAAATCAAGCCAGCATTTAAATAGAAGATACCTGCTGTAGAAGATGGGACAAAAGCAGCTACATGAGCTGGTAGGTTATCCTTTTTTCTCAAAGAATGTTATTAAAAATAACTACTTTTATTTGTCAATTTTTAGCTATGTAAGTTTGGTTGCTTAGGTTACAGTTAATCAGGCTCATCAATTATTCAAAACACAAAAACATTCTGTGGAATGAGCTGAATGCAACTGACAGAGCCCATGGAATGTGTTTCTCTTCAAGTGTTCCTGTTAAAAGTTACTGGTCAAAAAAGATGACACCACTTTTACTCCAGCAGGTTTGTATTAACAGTGGTTTTCCAACTGTGGTCTGTGAAGCATTTAATGGTGATCAGTAAAAAGCTGGCACGTCACATGGTGGTAGGCAACTCCTCCTTGCTTCCAGCTGCTGCTTCTGCTGTAGTCAAAAGCCTAAATGACCACAAAAATAGCTGGAAACAAGAAGGAACCAACCAGTCTCCACTAGTGGTCATGGCTGTAAAAGCAGAACAGTAACAACAACTAGAGCCATCAGCAGAAGTTTAAAATTAACCAACCCGTTTCCTAAAATAACTTTTCCATATAAGCAACTACTGTAATTGCTCCCAGGGTATTACACAATTGTGGACTGGAAGGTGGTGTCCAGCAGATGCTATCATGACATGGTCTATGCTATGAGAGTTTGAGAACCCTGTATTACTTTATTTTAAAAAGCAGGATACTGTGCAATTTAATGTGCATTTCCAAGATGATTTGCTGACTCCTATCAGTAGGGCCGTACCAAATTCACAGCCATGAAAAATGCATCGAAGACTCTGATATCTGGTTTCCCACTGTGAAATCTGGCCTTGTGCGTGCTTTAACCTATATTATACTAGGGATATAAGCATATAGTCATGTAAACGATTAACCGATAAGCAAGAGGCAGCAAAGGGGCAGGGAGGTGGAAGCTGGTGCCCATGGGAGCCAGCTTTTAAGATGGCTTCCCACAAGGAGCTGGCTTCATGGAGTGGCCTTCCTCCCCCGCACTGCTACCTCTGTATGAGAGGCAGCAGTGGGGTAGCAGCAGGACTGGGGAGGGGGAGTTAGCAGCCCCTGTCTGCGGGGAGCTTGAGCCCTCCACAGACAGGGGCTGCTGCAAGCGGTAGCAGGGGGCTCCCCAGGAGTGGGGCTGGGAGCCCCTGGGGGCTACTGAATAATCATGTAGTCAATAAGATTTGGTGTGGTTACACAATTATTCAGGTAAACAATATCTAACATCCCTACATTATACAGATTTCACAAGGGAGACCAGTTCTCTCAAATTAGGTGTCCTCACCCAAAAGGGAGTTGCAGGGGGTTGCAAGGTTAGGTTTTTTTGGGGGGTGGGTGGGGGTAGCAGTATTCTTCTACATTGCCTTCAGAGCTGGGATCTCCCACCAGCAGATGCGGCTCTCTGGTTACAGAAGTAAGGGTAGCATTACTGCAACCCCCTTACACCAACCTTGCAATACTCCCACACAACTCCTTTTTGTGTCAGAATCCTTACAATTCTATGAAATTCAGATTTAAGTAGCTGAAATAATGGAATTTACGATTTTTTAAATCCCGTAACTGACACTGACCAAAATTGACTGTGAATTTGGCAGTACCATACCTATCAGTGTGGGTATATACTTAAAAGTCAAATAATCTTTTTCTTTCACCTTATGTTCACTCTCAATTTCAAGATTTTTACATAAAAGGAGAGTAGTTGTGTGATCATTACAGAAAAACGTTCATAAATTACAAAGTAATGTGGCTGATATATTTTGATGCTCTAATTATGTAAACAGGTATTTGTTAAGATTTTCCTTTTTGCCTCTTTATATTGCCTTTAAAAGTCTGGTATGAACTCTCCCATTTTCTGGAGGGTAATACCAACCTACTGCCAAAGGCTTTAAACTCTCTGCTTTAACCCCTACTTCTCTCCAACTGCCAAAAGACAAACAAACAAACCACACCTTAGCATTCCTAAAGTTGTTTTCTAACCAGGGATTATTCAAGAGTAGCATAAAAATAATTCAAAGAACCTAGAACTTACCTTCCTTAGCCAAGTATAACTCTTTAAATTTTGCCCTCTTTTGATTAAATTCTTGCTCAAGCTGCTGCTTTGTACGCAGAAATTCTGCATTCACTTTTTCCAATTCTGCTACACGTTGCAGAAGAGCAGCTAGAACAAAAACAAAAAAGTAAGGTACATCACTAGTGGTTAAGGAATGCCAAACAACAACATGTTGCAACTTTAAGATTTAGGGGTTATCTTTTAAAATATATTTTTCACTCATTATTAGCTTAGATGTTTTCCAAAGACAAGCCAAGATTACTGGTCAGGTTTTTGTTATTGTTGTTTTAAAACCAACAGGAGTCAGCAGACCTACTCATTACACAGCTTCATAGGGGGGAGCCAAGTCAGTCTGCACAGAAAAAAACAACAACAAATGGTCTGATAGCACTTTATAGACTAACAAAACATATAGATGGCTATCAGACCATTTGTTGTTTTTTTCTACTCATTACAGGGAGTTTTGACATATGCCAACTGCAGCTAGGAATAACTGTTATTGGAAAGAAATTGAGTCATACCGAATCTTTCTTGAAAAGGGAATTTACCACATACAAGAATGATGGTAAGTAATTGTATTACCATAAGATATTTTATTCTGAAGATATAAGGAATCTGGTCACATTCTTACTTTCTCCCTATAGAAGCATACGTTTAACTCCTCCATTATGTAATACGTGTTTTGACTTCATACAGGAGTTACAATTAAAACAACAGATTACTGGCTATGGATTTAGTAACTAGTAAAGGAAAACTGTAGCCTGTATACAACAGTTACCTACATCAGATACTACATGAAAAGCAAAAACCCATCCCTCAACCAAGTCATACTCTTCTGTCTCCACTGCCTCCTTCCTGCTAGAGCAGTTAGTCAAACTCTAGTCTATGGACTACTGGTGATATTCAGAGCATGTTTGAACTGGTACGGAGAGAAATTACCACTTTCATGCCAATTCCTCCTTAATTCAAGCTGCTCAACTGTCTTAAGACAGCTAAATATACATTAAGTACCTTCTGAATTATCTTCAATGCAAGCAACTACTATAGTTGCCACAAGGATGTTATTACTTGAAATAGCAGGGGAATGGTTCACAATATACCAAAAGACTACAAAAATACAATCCATAAAGAAAAAGAAAGAACTTCTATGATAGAGAATTCACAATCTCAACAAAAAAAGTACCATATAGTGCTATAAAACAAGACTTTTTGCTATAATTGCCTCCCTGGTACTAGTCCTCAGGCAAGATATTAATTTTGTTAGTCTCCTAGGTAGTAGCAGAATATCTTAAGCAACAGAAAGTTACATATCACATACTTTAGATTAATCTTCAAAATTTCAAATAGAAAACAGCGAAAAAGGTTTTTTTTTTAAATCTACAGACATATTAAACACTTCTCATGCTATAATTCCACCAAGCAAATGAACTTACGTTAGTTATTTCTCTTTCAGTTCTACAACAGCAATTTATGAAGACATTTTGGCTCCACCATGTAAGCAATCTGAGTCACTGCTTTGTAGTAATACTCTCTTCATTGCAGAAGCTAGATAAATCTTTACTGAACCTAATATATTACAATTGCTTACGTTACACAGACAGTAACATTACTCTCCACCACAAAGAAGTGTGTTAAAAATATCACATTTTACAAGATGCAACTTCAAATACCAAGAGATATAATGAGGAAGCTCCTAGCTGGTGTTGAAATCATCTACAGAATGGACGGAAAGCTGTTTAGGTTTAGCAGGCCAAGAGCTAAGAGTAAGATTTCCACTACATCTATCATCGAACTTCAGTATGCTGATGACAATGTGGTTTTTGCCACTCTGAGAAAGATCTTCAGGCTATCCTGAATGTGTTTGCTGATGCTTATGCAGGTCTTGGTCTCACCCTAAGCTTCAAAGAAAACCAAAGTGCTCTAACAACCCTTTCCAAATGAGGTACCCTGTGCCCCATCTATTAAAATCAACGGAAAGGCACTGGAGAATGTTGATCGTTTTCTTTACCTTGGAAGTTATCTTTCATCCAAGGCAGATATTGATGTAGAATTCCAACATCATCTGCGCTATGCCAGTGCAGCCTACGCTCATTTATAGCACAGGGTTTTGAAGATCATGACATTTGAAGAGACACCAAATGCCTTGTCTGTCAAGCCATCTTTCTCCCAACACTATTGTATGGGTCTGAAACTTGGACAACATACAGGCATCACTTGAAAGTCTTTGACAGATATCACCAACACTGCCTCTGCAAGATCTTGAAGATCAAACAGGAAGACAGGTGCACTAACATTAGCATTCTTGAAGAGGCAAAGACCACCAGTAATGAGGCAATGATCATCTGTCAGCAGCTTCGCTGGACTGATCACATTGTTCAGATGCCAGACCATCACCTCCCAAAACAGGTCCTGTTTTCTCAGATGAAAGAAGGATACCATAACGTAGAAGGAAAACAGAAGCGTTATTAGGACTTGCTAAAGGATAACTTAATGAAGTGCAACTTTGACGTTGATATTTGGGAGACACTCGGCCAGGATCACTCAAAATGGAAACAAGTCCTATGCATTGGCTCTCTGCATTTTGAATTTGCCCACCGACATGCTGATGAGGAGAAAAGGTGCAGGAGGAAGGGGAGGCTAGTTTCTAGTCATGGTCAACAGCCTCCTGCTGTACCTGGAAATATCTGTCCTCACTGTAATAGAACTTTCCCTTTATTCCCCTCACTGTAATAGAACTTCCCCTTTATGTGGTGAGGCCACATCTGGAATATTGTGTCCAGTTCTGGGCCCCCCCACTATAGAAAGGATGTGGATGCATTGGAGAGGGTCCAGCGGAGGGTGACCAAAATGACTAGGGGGCTGCAGCGCATGACCTATGAGGAGAGACTGGGGGTATGTCTACACTACCCCGCTAGTTCGAACTAGCGGGGTAGTGTAGACATACCCCAAGGCATTAATGAAAATATTCAATACTACCAGCCCCAGGACTGACTCCTGTTGGACCTGGCTAAATACATCCTTCCAGTTTGACAGTGAACCATCTTGAGTATGGTCTTTCAACCTAGACGTGTGTCCACCTGATGGACATTCACCAAGACCACATTTCCCTATGAGAATGTCATGTAGGACTGTGGCAAAAATCTTACCAAACTCAAGATATATCACATTTCCTTCTTCCTCTTTATTCACTTGGCCAGTAATCCTGTCAAACAAGGAAATGAGGTTGGATTGGGATATGTTCTTTATAAAACATGCAGGCTATTCCGTATAACCCTATTATCCTCTTCATGCTTACAAATTGTCAGCTTAATAAATTGTTCCAGTATCTTTCCTGGTATTGAAATTCAGCCAACTAGTCTGTAATTCCCCAAGTCCTCTTTGTTACCCCTTTGAAAGCTAGGTAGTATGTTTGTCACATCTCTAGTCCTGTGGGATCTCATCAATCCTCCATGAGTTCTCAAACATAATTGTTAATGATTTCAAGGTTGCTTCTGCTAGTTCTTTAAGTATCCTAAACTGCATTTCATCATGCGCTGCTGACTTGAATATATCTAATTTATCTAAATATTATTTAACTTGTTCTTTCCCTATGTTGGATATTAGGAAAAACTATTTCCCTAGGAGGGTGGTGAAGCACTGGAATGGGTTAACTAGGGAGGTGGTGGAATCTCCATCCCTAGAAGTTTTTAAGTCTTGGCTTGACAAGGCCCTGGCTGGGTTGATTTAGATGGGATTGGTCCTACCTTGTGCAGGGGGTTGGACTGGATGACCTCCTGAGGCCTCTTCCTGCTCTATGATTCTATGATTGGCATTATCAGCCACCTGAGGGTCCATAACTCCCATAGAAGATGATCATACTCAGCAATGAACGATCATCAGTAGTACAGGTTGAAACTCTGTAATCTGGGACTCGCTGGTCCAGCAACATCCATCATCCCGCAGGACCCTAGATGTTCCAGGACCAGAGAATCCCAGTGAAAGGCTGGTGGCAAGGCACACTGCATATGGGCAGCTCAGCATACCACAGCAGGGCTGCCCGGCAACTCCAGGAGCAGGGCGCGCTGCAGTGGGGCTGGGCTGGAGCTGGGTTGCCCAGCATAGCATGGAAGGAGATGGAGGGACTGGCAGGGCAGTGAGGCTGGCAGCCAGGGGGAGGATCCAGGGCTGCGGGGGGCACCAGTGACAGAGGAGCCCGATATGATCTCCCCTGGTTCAGCAAAAACCCTGATTCAGGACTAGTTAGTTCCCAAGGGTACCAGACCAGGAAGGTCCAACCTGTAGTATAAAGCCAGTGAGGAAAACAATGATCAATTTGTCATTGAAATTTTGTGAAAGTTTATTTCTGACCTATGAAAAACATGAATAAAAAGGTTATTTAGAAGTGAGACTGTATGTTGTAGACTTCTGGCTACAAAATAAAACTAAAGTATTTAACTGAAAAAAAATAAGTTCCTTGACTATGCCTCTAATCCAAGACAGGTACCAGAGAGGGATTAAGTTATACAAGTATTATACATTTTTTATCTATTTCCCTAACTACTAAATCTCTGAGGCACCAGAACCTGTATTGCTCTGAATACATATCACCATGGGGAAATCTAATATACACAAAAAAGCCATTCCTAGGCTAAGAAAAAGTCTTTAAAATTTCAACCCAAAAGGTAATTGTTTGTAAAAATATAGATAACTGAGATGGAATTTATTTTACCACAACTATAGAATTTCTATTACTCCTCTCTGCGAGGAGTAAGTTTTCAGAAGAGTGGTGTTCCATCTGTGGATGCTATCTGCATCCATAATTAAACTCTGAGCCCAAATTTGGGTATCTGTACATCTGAGTGAGTGACTGACTGACTACAGGTACAATTATTCTAACTGGCTCAGATTCAAAATCCCATTAAGTTAATAGAAAGAAGCCAACAGATATCAATGGGCTTTGGATCCTGCTCCTTGGCACTCAACTTGAATCCATAATTCAACAGTTGCAGGTGTAAAAATCACTTTTAAATCTAAACAGACAAAATACCAATCTAAAAATCTTTATATTACTCATGCTTCTATTTCTCTCACAATTTGTCAAATGGAAAATATATCTTACGTCATTCCTG